AATCAGCCAGTGCCAGATTCTACTATGGGTGACCGCCCATGGCAGCATCTTGTGGGGGGTGACAAGACCGACCTCTGACCCCTCTCACCGCCCCAGATACTCCAGTTGTCTTTTGTCTCACTGTAACTTCCATCTTTTTGTCCATTGTCTAATAGATGGAAGACATAATGATATATTGCCATCTCTCTGTATCTGCCAACGTTAGGTCGACAGATAGAGGCACAGAAGGCACATAAGACATCTCTGTCTGCAAACATAGTATATGAATAGAGACAGATGAATGTATCTGCCTAAAGAAATGTGTCTGTTAGCTGAGTATTAAGTTAAAATTAAAACTAATATCACTGAACATTGTTATTTTTCAGGAAACAGCATCAAGGGCACCAGCGGGTCCAGCAGCGCCTTTTGCCACCTAGAGTATTGCTCCATAGGTGAGAACTGAGAACTAGTTCAGTGATGCCTTTACACAGCCTTTAGTTCACAGGCATATAATATAAAAAAATAATCTGTACTTAAAGAACAAAAAGGTAGTTTTGAAAAGTCTCCCATCTGTTTTTAGGCGATTCATAGGCCTCAACCCAGAAAGCAGATCAAAAGCTGCAAACGGAAAAGTGACATCAAATACAACAGGACGACTTATGCAAAACACTAGGACAACAATGAACCCGTGTGTCTCCATTCTCCTTCATGGACTTCCAGTGGAACTTTTAAAATGATAAAAGTAGACATTTATACACAATGAGTTCTCTTACTCCATCTCTCTCCCTCTCTGTCTTTTTCTCTGCCTGTCTCTCTGAATCTGTCCTGTCCATTTCTAATAGACAGACAGGAGGACATCTACAATGAAGGAAGGTCAGAGAGAGTGTCTGTCCACTAAATCTGTCCTTTTCTACATTTACATTGATGTAAATGTAGTTTAATATGCTGTTTATCATGTATTAAAACATATTTTTCTTTCTTTATCTTCCAGCAACCCTTTGATGATTTCTGATGTTCAGGACTGAGACCAACTCAGAACTCATCCATGTTGTTTTTGTTTGGCTGTTCACCAAGTCTTAAACTTGCCCAAATGTTTGTTGGGGTTCCAATACAGTTTTGAAAAATATGTAACTTCAATATTTGACATTGCTGGATCCCTTCCTTCTTTCAAAGGAAGATAAAGACAGACATTTAGAATTTTTATTGTAAGTTTTACATGAAAAGTTGATAAAATATTGTTTTTATGACTTTGACCTGCAGTTTTCTTGGAAACTTTGACATTTGGGCACTTTTGTTTTAGTAAAGATTCAATGTAATATTACCATGATTGTAAATGTATCAGTTATGTTTTTAGATCAGAGTATTTTTCACTTTGGTTGCAATACTTTGACTTTTATGTAACAAGCAAATATTGCTGCTGCAAAATATTACATCTTGTTTTGCTTCAGTTTGCCAGATTTAAATTGACAATAAAATGAAGCAACTTTAAAATGTCCATGTCTATTTGTCTTAATTAGCAGAATAAAACATTTTTTGAGAGTTTGGTAAATTAAGTTGCAAGTTCACATTTAAACTTTAAAAAACTAGCAAAGTATGCAGTTTCATAAACTACTGTGAAATGACAACATTTTGTTATTCTACAGTATTACTGTAATTTTATTATGATAAAAATGTGATGAAATCACAGTAACCATGTTATATAATTACTGTGCTATTTTAAAGAAATTACAGTAACACTAATCAAATTGCAGTAATATAGTAATAATGATACCGTAAAACTGCAATAAAATCACAGTAAAACAGTAAGGTTACAGTAAAATTACTGTGATTACTTTACCGTAAAAATTACAGTAACTGGCTGGCAGACCTGCTATTGTAAGTTACTGTATTTGTAAGTCACTGTAAATTCCACAGTAACTTGTTTTTTTTACAGTGTATGTAGTCTTCTGTTATAAAGATGTTTTACATATAAACATGACTTCATAATTTAACGCCTTGAAACTGGGTCCGTGTCTCCTTCATGTGATGATGTGCTGAAGGCACAGTCAACACCATAAAGTATTTTTAAATTACATTTCCAATACGTCTTGCACTGTTGGAAAGTCTGGTTATTTTTGGTTATTATTATTGTAAGGAAATACATTTATGTTTTAGGCTGCAGAGTTGAGCATGTGGGATGAAAACCTTGTTAAATTCTCTCTGTGACTGCAGTGTGATGTGGCACACATCCCGTCCTCACTAGAAAAACACGGCTGGAGGAAGTTTCAATGTAGAGTTGCGATTTTGCAACTTCTCTCTACTTCTAAAGACCAAATTATACTGATATGCAAATTTATTTGTAGATAAGCCTAAGTGGACTACCAAAATAAAAGCTGGGCTATGCAAACGGAAACGTTTCTCATGTGATCACTTCATCAGTGTTCCTTCTCTTCTCGACTTGTACAACATTTCAGCTTTTAACGGCCATAAAGACGCTACAATAGATCAACAGCAACAACTCCAGCTCCACACCACGAGTCTATACAGAGATTACCGAGACCCAGCTTTTATTTTTGACAGTCTATTTCCGGTTATCGGCAAGTGAATTTGCGAATGTATATTTCGCCCTGAGCCAAATATTTAGTTTTGAGCCGAATATTTAGCTTCAAGCAACATATTTCAAACTAAATATCTAGCTATAGGCTATAATTAAATATTCAGTTTGAAACTGTTACATTCATTTTCTTTGGTGGGAAATGTTCTCTTATGACAGACTAAATGACCAAACGGTATCACATGTCTAGGAAGCACCTCAAATAAATAACTGACCGACACAATTTTGATAAATGAACATTACTTACACGTGATGTTTGCAGCTTAAAGGCAAAAATGCAAATATATACACAAACATAATGGATTTTTACAGCACTGCCATTTCGTTGAAGAAATGTAGGTAAATACTGATGAAAAACCATTGAAATTACATCTACAAGTTTTTTTTTTTTTTTTTTTTAAATATTTATTTATTTTTTGTACTATTAGCATAGGCTTTAGCCGAAGTTGTGAGAAGCCACTGGAAAGCCCTAAAGAGCCACATTGGGCAGAAATCTGACTTAATGTAATTTTTCTATCATATTAAGCAGCTACAGTGGGTTTTTATCTCTGATTACCATTAAATGGGAAACGCGTCGTAAGGAATGAAAATTCGATTTCCCAGAATTTTTCCTGGGGTTGAACTTTTCTTACCAACTGTTCCACATAATGCAGTTCTGCACTCTGAAGGACGGAGCGGTTGATCAGTAAATGCAGCTTCATAGGACAAACACGAGCTCCAAAAACCTGGCTGAAGCTGAAGAAATGGTGCGCGAGGCAGAACGGTGGACGTGGCACCTACCCTGGAATACACGTCACTACATTCACGCTCCACACGCGCACTGAAACACGCAGAGCCACTGGAAACACAGTTACCGGATTAAACGCACAGCGCTGTGTGTGTGTGTGTGTGTGTGTGTGTGTGTGTGTGTGTGTGTGTGTGTGTGTGTGTGTGTGTGTAGGTGTGTGTCGGTGTGTGTGTCTGGAGCCACTAATTTATAAAAGTGCTCGGTGGAGACATCGAGCCATGACTTCCACTGTCTGTCCTGTTGCGCTCTGATAAAACAAAACAGCTGTGGATCAACTAGTCCATTCTAATGGTGTTAACACCCGGAGAAGTTCTCGACTATTTATAAACCAATATAGGATTAAAAATAAATCGAACGACGCTGCGGTTTCATGGAGAAAGCCCTGATCAAATTGGCCTTGGTGAGCTGAAAAGAATAGAGTGAGATCCCGTCAGAACTGAGGAAGAAATCAAATCTTATGGAGAATATGCAACCAAGCTTCGTCCACTCCCCCGCTTGGCTTATTCAAGACTGTCTTCTGTAATGTCCACCACCGACAGCCAGCAGATTAATACAACACATGCCCTGGACACTGACCGCAGCCTGCAGTGCTGCTGCCCATGTCCACTAACGCAGATGATTTAACAGCGAAGAAGCTCACCAGGGACGTGGAGTCCATCTCTGCCGCCGCCGCTGCCTCACTCTGTGTTGACGTGGACTGCCCTGAGCTGTCACACGGCGCGCGCTCCCGACCCGGAGCCACGAGCACACAACCACCAGTAGAACAGAGAACGCTCCAGGACCACGCCTCTTCCGCCTCTCTTCCTGCCTTTCATAATAAAAGTCTGTGCGTCTCCTGATTTTGATTATTTTTTAAATTTTTTGCTTTTCAGTGAGAAGGCCAGAATGAATATATTTTCATTCATTAGTGGATATCCGCTTTAAAAAAATATTTATATGTTTCTTCAATGATTGTGTTTAAATGATTCATTTAAATGACTTTCAAATTAATTAGAACTTCTGTATTTAATGCCAATTCTATTCTGCAGTTGTTGACACTGTTGCCTCACTGAAAGGAGGTCCTGGGTTTGAATCCCAGCCTGGGGTCTTTCCACATGGGGTTTGGATGCTCTGGATTCTTTCCAGCTACTCCGACTTCCTCTTTCATGTCAATTCACTATAAAAATAAATTCCTCTAGAGCCAATAAAACCTTTTTTTTTCTCCCCACGTTCTCCCTGTGCTTGCTCTAAGTCTGCCTTCACAGTCTGCTATTTGTTCAGACAGAGCTATTTGTGTTGGATTGCTTCTATATTGTTTTATGAACAGAACTAATGAGTGCAGCATAAAGTTCTGTTAGAGTGAATCAGGTTGAGCTTATTGAGTATGGGCTGACAATAAACTGCTGTACATTAGCGTGATAAAAACAGACAGAGTTTGGAGTTTTCTTAACCCCGCAAAGAGGCTGATAAGCGTGTTAAAAGCCCTCGGTTCTTCCCACAAGGGCTTCTTTTTATTTATCGATATGTTTATGTTTTCTTGTAGCCTCGTCACTTTTGACGCTGTGAGTTTAATCAAGCAGACGTGATGAGACGTCAGGAACAAGCTCACTTCCGTTACACGGAGACGCGCCTCTCGTTTTCACCGCGCCGCATTCTGGGAAACCCAGTTTGTTTCTGATGTGGGAACGATGGCAGGCGTGCAGCCGCCTCCCCTCCGCAGCCTGGATGATTTTTTGTTGAGCTCGGCTCGTTTTGCGGTGCCAGATGTGCGGGACCTGGACCGCTGGAACAACCGCATGATCAACAACCTTTTGTATTATCAAAGCAACTACTTCCTGTCCGCTCTGAGCTTCCTGCTGCTTGTGGGGTAAGTTTCATTATCCTGATCATTCCTTTCTCTCTTTCTCACAGTTTTTACTTTACTGAACAATGTAATTTTCTCGGTGCAAATGGACATTTCATCTGGGATTCTCCGCTCAGCAGCCAGTGTTTCATGCAGCTGGTTTGAGTGATTAGTTCCCCCACCTTGGAAAACAGCTGCAGAAGATGCAAGGAGGTTCGGACCAGGTCTCACCCTGCTCGGCTCTGGTCCATCTTTGTCCTTGCAGGGGCGCTGTTCGTGGACGGGAGCCTTTCTTTGATGAAGTCAAACATCTGACTGTCACCGTCAGGTGTAAAATGTTGTCCACGTTGACATGCACATAATTTCAACAGAGTCTCTAAAACCTTTAGTAAAATTGCTTTTGAAATGAAAATTCTGAATAGAATTGTGCAAGTAAATATTGGAATTGAATCCAATAGCTAGACACTGAAAGGTTCACATCTCTAGTTATTTGTAGAGATGGAGGTTATTATCAGCCATAGAAGAAAAAGCTAAAGCTGTAAACTGTGAAAGGCTCAATAACTGGACATATTTCAGAATGAAACGTCCTTCATTTAGAACACGTGTCAAATTAAAGCCCCAGGGGCCAAATCTGACCCACCATAGCTTTTTTATGTGGACCTTTGGACTCCAAATTATATCAGTTAATATCTGCAAAATTTATATAAAATCCACAAATCCCTGCATTTTTTTCTGATTTTTACTGCATTTTTTTTCTTAAAATTAGCCAAAAACATTGGGTTTAAGTTACTGCTGCCTCAGTCTGACTTGATGTCAAGCTGTAGTCCATGATTGATATGGCAAATAATAAAAAGTTACATTTAGCATCATACATTAGTGCAAATATAAAAATTCCTTACAAATATTTGTAAATTAACACCCAAAAATCTGTGATTTTGATAAAAAAAAAAAAAAAAACTAAAAACATATGGCCCAAAATATTTACGAAATTCTGGATGGACTGACCAGTGTGAAAAGATGTTCAATATTATTTAATTTTCTATAAAGCTTATCAATACATACAACTGGCTCTTTAAAAACATTTTGATTTTTGACATGGTCCAAAGTGAAAATGAGTTTGACATCCCTGATTCTAATGAGTGACAGACGAAAACTAAAACCTGACTTGAGGAGAACAAAAGGGACTTTGTTCTAAAACATGGCTGCACCAATAAATCGGCAGGGAGTTCCTTCATTTTGTGAGATCGGTGATCAGCCCATGCTTACATGTGAAGCTGATCTTATCTTCCTCAGCAAAGGTCTACAAATCAGCCACTGTCCTCCTCAGCTCTGTTAGTGCCGCCCACCAGGTCATGACTGCACGGTTGCAGTTAACTTTAGTGACCCCACTGTTACCAACTCAGTGACTTTCTTGCTACATTTAGCAACTTGGAGACAAAAATATGAGTGTAGGCAAGAATTGGAATGAGCAGGCTAGTTTTTTCAAAGCTGGGTGATCACTGTAGGCTTACTTGATAAACTATGGTCTTCTGAGTTGGATCCACATTGTTCTTGCGTCTGCATCACTGAAGCTTTGTGACGTTATTTTCAGGCTCAGCCTCTTTATGTGAAGTGAGGATGTTTTTCTTCCCTCAGGTATTTCCAGCCCATCCAGATGTTTGTTGGGATGACGGTGGTCACCGCGTTGTTCCTGGGCTTCGTCTGGGCTGCGGAGAACAAAGCTCCGATCCGCCGTTTCCGAAGAAACCATCCATTATTGTCTGTGCTCGCCATTCTCTTGGCCAGTTACCTCTTCATATTGATGTTGGGAGGAGTGGCTGTGTTCCTGTTTGGAATAGCCAGCCCAGTACTGAGTAAGACTGTAAACACACGCACTGCTCTGTATTCATTGTTTCAGATCTTGAGTTTGTTTTCTGCCTGGAAGTTGTGATGTTTTTTCTTTCAGCACCTGAACATGTTTTGAGTTCTCTACATAGATGCATCCCAGCAAATAAGAATATCATCTATTTAAGGAGTTCATTTTGAAAAGTTCTATATGTTATAAAATAATAATAAATAAAGGGACATGTTTGCTATTTATGATAATTATAAAAAGTGAATAAGAAGCTAAAATATTTTTTCTCAGAACATGTGAATCATCAGACTAGTGAAATGATTTTCAGTCCAGGGTAGCATTGAGTGATCAGCCTGTAGTTCAGACTCATCTCATTTTCTTTTTGACAATCCTCCAGAGATTCTCCAGTGTTTGCTGGATCGACCAGGTCATTATCGGAGGTAGTGACGCTTCTGTGGTGTGCTCAGAACGCAAGTCCTGCTGTGAAATGACTTCACTATGTCAGGGACTGCTAACGCTTTCATCTGACCTCATGTCATTTTGTCATTGTCTGAGAAACTGAATTGGGATGTTCATCAAATTTAAGTTGACAGAAATAAGCACTTTAGAAGTACAAATATATATAATGAATCTATTGCAAAGGTGCTTCATTATCTGAATTTAATTACTAAAAAGAAAAGTTTTCTTATTTTTTTTAAATGCACCTGTGCATGTGTTTACTGCCCCTTATCCATTGGGATTAGTGAAAATCACTTCTGTTTTGATAAAGAATCTGATCATCTGTCTAATAGCTCATGATATTTTTCCTATAATGGTTGTAAAATAAAAAAATAACCAGAACAGAAGCATTTATTCTTTATTTTGTTGTGCTTAAAAGGTTGATTAGGTTGTTCTTGTGTATTTCCAGTGGTCCTGGTACATGCATCGATGAGGCTGCGGAACCTGAAGAACAAGCTGGAGAACAAACTGGAGAGCATTGGCCTGAAGCGGACCCCCATGGGGCTCCTGCTGGAGGCCATGGGGCAGGAGCAGGAGGCTGGCTCCTAAACACCCAGCAGGGGTACTGGTTCACCTCTTCTTTATTTTCTGATCAGAAACCAGAAGAAAATCGACCAAATTGGACAAGTTTTATAGATTGACAATTTTTGCACATGTGGTCATGGTTATGGAGAAAAGGACTGAAAGTGTTTCCCTTTTTATTGTGGAACCATTTGTAGTTTCATCTGTCATTCTACCCAGCTGGTCTAAACCACCTTATGTTAATGTTACAGGATTTACCTTTTGGAACAAAAATCATTTTACATGAATACATCATGTTGTATCAACGAAGGAGCAAACAGGCTAGCAAAGTGGTATCCAACCTGGAACTTGGAACTCGACCTTCAAACACCCTGAGTGTCCAGAGCCATTGCACGGATTCACGCACGCACGCACGCACGCACGCACGCACGCACGCACGCACGCACGCACGCACGCACAACAGCTAAGAACTTTTATGTTGAGCAGTGGCTGGATGCTTATTAATGTAGTTTTAGATAATAAAGAAGATTCCAGCAGTTTGATCACTAATCAATGACCTACTTATTCGCTGATTATTTCTTTTTTGATAAAGACATTTCCTCCTCCCATCTGTAATACTCTGTGATGGAAGCAGGAAATGGTGATCCTCTGATAAACCCTCAGTTAAGCAGCATGTGTTGAAGGTCATTGCAAATACTATAGATTTGTGAAGACAGACTAACAGGACCATTTCCTGTTAGTCTGTACAATTTGAACCCGTCAGTTGAGGTATTGTACTTTTCAACGTTTTCCTTAATTTCCACAGCAGCTGCTCTGTATGTAGGCGCAGTGTTTGGTGCCTTTAATCTTATAATTCAATAACTGAGTTTTTATTAGTTTTCTTGAAAACATATTTTTCACACACTTTAGCACAATAGTGGCACTATTGTGCCACCCAAAGGCTTACCTATTAGCCTCCATGGATTAGCTGGCTTTGTGATGCAATAAAGGGGTGGGGCCAAGCGGGGAGTCCCTGACTAGGCCTTTTTATAACACTAAAACACATCAGTTGATGATTTTGTTGCATCATGTTTGTATATTGTGGTATTCAGCCTTTAAAGGGCCAGTAATTAGGTATTATCCAAGCACATAGAGCCTTTTTATAGTTCAATTAAATAACTGTCATCTTTACTAGCTATAAAATACAATAAAAAACAAATATGGCTTAAAAGAAATTTAACCTTGCAATTTAACGCTTTAAATTCTCCTTTTTTTAAATGAAAAAGTCATAACATTGCTTCTCTATTAACCGTTTAAGAACATTCTTACCAGTGTTTCACTGAAAAATAGTTTGTAATGAGCTCAGCAGATGCACAGTTCCACCAGGTGTTTGCTAATTGTTGCTGGCTAGTCTGAAGGAGTTGAGTGGGAGAGTTGTGGCAGAAAGCAGTTCTGTGAGGTTTCCACCTCATCCTCAGATTTGGAAACTGCAAATCTGAGGATGAGCTTCATCTCAAAGGTGGGGCAAACTCCACCCATGGATCCCTCATGGGTGGAGGGATTAAAGGATTTCTCAAATATACATGAACAAATCAAGACAACCCTACAGGTATGTTTTTGATGTGGTAATAACATTATAACATGATGTAAAGCTCTAAAAGTTGTTTTTTATGTGATACTGCCTCTTTAAAGAAGTAAAACCTAAACCAATGAAACGGCAATCATTATGGAGTCTGTTGTGAAGGACAGAAAACCAGGAGGACAGGTAAAAATGACTAAGTAGTTACTGAAGTTTACAAAATAGGAAATGTCAAATATTTTTTTTTTTTGGTGAAAGTTTCATTTTACATACACTTCAGGTTCGGGGGTCTGATAGATGTTTTTTGTTCTTTTAAATGAAGTAAAACATTATTTTGTAACGTCTAGCATTGCTTGGTCCCCAACGGCTTTGTTTACACCAGACCATTGCTTGGAAACTGCCGCCATCTTCTGATGTTTGTTATTTAGGAAGAAGTTACACATTTAGATAAATCTGATAACAGTGGTGGTGTGAGGGACTCTGCTTACCGCTGCCGTGGAAATGAGCGACTGGATCGCAACAAAAATGTTGGTTTACCCGAAGGGCGGCTCAGTGTTAGTGGGTCGCAAGTCTCAGTATGTGTTCAGTTAATATGCATATTTTATAACATATTTAGCGATACATTGGAACAACTGTTTGCCTAAAACTTGAAGGATTTAGAGTCAATATTGTTATTGTGGACTTTAAATTGCACAGATACAGGGCTGTTAAAGTCTGGAATATAATTTAAATGTTCCAATCATGTTCTCTTTTTACTGCCGTCTTAAACTGATCATAGTACATATGATGACTTGAGACAGAAGCCTTTACTGATTCTGACTGAACCAGGATCAGTGAACTTATACTCACCATAAGGCTTTTAAATATCTATGGTTGTGTTTGGATGAGAAGGATTGGCCGGTAGTCCTTGTTGTTGGGTAAACCAGGTGGTTCTGAAACTGATATTTATTTCCAAAGTTACTGTTTTCCAGATTATGATAGTTTTTAAATTGATTACATAGGAACATGTTGAATATCAGCTGGATTATTTTCAATAAAGATAATGTAGAAAATCAGTTCTATATGGCTGCAGATGAAGAATCTGTTTCTTGATCTGATACCTGAGAAACACATTAAAGATTTCTTCTAAATGTCTAAATTGATCAGTTTATTTCTTCTGCAAAAGAAAATCTACAGAATCCACAAACAGATCAATCTGATCCAACTTATTGGTCATGCTTCATTTGATTGGTGGATCTCTGAGTGATCTGATTTTCCTCCAGCTGTGCTGACAGGTGCAGAGCGGCGTCTGCTGCGTGGAAACGTTGAGCACTCAGCAGCGTTTGGGCTTCTACTGGAAGCATGCTCTCCTGTATTTAGCTGAAATCTTGATTATTAGAAACAAAACAGCTTATGGACTCGGGAAAACAGGTTCTACTGAAGTTTCAGTAATACACAAGGTTTCAGTTCTGTTCTTGTTAATTCAGTTATAGCATTTGCTTTTTGCTCACAGGTCAGATTTCACAATTTCCCACTCAGAAAACCATTTGTGATATTAACTCTGTCGTTTTGGAAAACGTCCTGATTGGGAAGTTCAAGTTAAAACCTTTTCTGAAGAAGCTGAAAGTGTTTAATATTTTATAGTGAAAATGAGAATAAATATTAAGTTATGGTAGTTTATAGGATCAGAGTGTATCACCTGTGGCTCTGAAGATGTAAATAAGTTTTTGGACAGTCAATTATGGATTTTAATAACTTTAGCCCCCTCCCAAAATATATATATATATATAGAATAAAGTAATGTTTTAAAATATAGACATATTAAATGACACCTATAGAAAAAAAAAAATTATGAAACAAACTGATTGAATTTCCACAACAGAATGGCATGAAGTACAGGTAACATTTTTTACTGTACACATTTTTTCTTGTCATTAAGTTGGAAATTTAATGACTTTTACCAAGAACAAAATAGATCTATTTTCTTTTTGCAAATGTTTAATCTTCATTTTAAAACTGAGAAGTCAAAATAAAATTGTAAGCCGACAAAGATTGTCTGTTTTTCTTCTGCAGCATCAGTGACTCTGAATGAGTTGATGTAGTTGGACAGAGGCATCAGTGACTCTGAATGAGTTGATGTAGTTGGACAGAGGCATCAGTGACTCTAAATGAGTTGATGTAGTTGGACGGAGGCAGAAACGGCTCTTTGAGATGTAAAGGTTGCAGATTCCTGATCTGAATATTACAGTGTGTGTGCATTTGATTTTCTCAGCTTGGTATTCCAATGTGTTGTTGTGTATTCATTCTTTAATATGACCGTACTACCTTGAGCTGCCAGAACAATACTTCATTGTGAGAAAGAACCAAACTGGTTCATCGACAAGTAAATTAATTGTTAAAGATTTGTATTTGTATGTAAACAGTGGCTAACATTTCCAGCTCAAAGTGCCATTTATTATTTTACGTGTGTAGGTCTCTGTTTTATTAAATGTCTGCCTAACTGTCCCAGTATGGATCATGTCCATTTTTCTTAATAAAAACAGTAGTTTTTTTTTCCTGGAATGTGTCTTCTAATTTGGGGGTGGGCTGTCTTTGTGCTGCAAGCCTGTAGAAGTGTAAACAGTTTGTGTCCAGGATGTGTGAGTTCTGCAGAGATTTCAGTTGCCTTTTTTTCCAACCCAAGATCTGGTTTAAAACTGCAATATGTATCTTTTCTAAATGTTTTTAACATATTTGTTAAAACTGTCACCGTGTTGTGACAGAACGGTATGAGACAGAAAATCTGTGAAAAGATTGAGTTCATCTGCCTTCTACCTGAAACACTAGAAACAACCAATCAGAACCTGGAGGCGGATCTTAGCGCTGTCAATCATTTTCTATGGGGTACTTCTCATGCCACTCCTCTCTCCCTCCCCTTTATCTGTGGTGCAGCTAGCAAAGTCTGTCATGAATGCTAACGCTAGTTAGCATGGCCATTGATGATCCATAAACGGTTTTTCTGGAACAATGAGGTGTTTCTCTGTCATTAGTACAGTTAGCAGCGAGTACATGAGTCTGATTGACAGTGCTAAGCTCCTCCTCTTGACTCTGATTGGTTGGTTTTGGTCAATGCATTTATTCAGACAACTGCAGATGAGGTACTCGATCTTTTCACAGGTTACGTCTCATACCAAACTGTCATGACATGATGACAGTTTTAACAAATTTGTAAAGAAATAATTTTTTTCTTAAAGGTTCTGCAGCTTTTAGGGCTCTGTGGAGACTACATCTCAGCTCCTCTCACTGTTCTTTAAAGGTTCCTCCTGTCTGTTGAGCTGCAGAATGTGAACATGGTGAGGAGAAGCTGTAGAATCACTGTTCACTACTGATTATGAAGATGGATTTTTAGGAATAAAAAAAACCTGCTGGGAAGACATGAATGGACCAAACTGTCAGCCACATTTAGACAACTCTCCTCACGTGTATTTCCTCCGCTGTTCTCAGCGCTCTGCAGGAACTCTGTCTCGGTGGATCTGCCTGTGTTTGGGGGACGAAACACTGAAATGTGTATCCATGATGTTATTTCTTAACACCGTTGACTTCCCAACACAGTCCTGGAACCAGACAGCAGGCAGGAGGATGATGCAATTTTACACTGTTAACAGCAGAGCTGCCACACACCAGCAGAGCAACATACACCAACAGAGTGACACACTCCTCTGGTAACAGTGTGAGTCACCAGGAGGAGGAGCCTAGCGCAGGCCAGCTGCTTTAAAAAGGCTCAGCTTCTAACTTTGTCAGAACAGAAAGCGAATGGTGGAAGTGAGTGAGGGCGCCTGGATCTGAGCTGCTGACCACTGAACTGTCTGCCCGGTAAGAAACACTTTGACTAGATCCAGATTTCTACTGACTGTAAGTTTATCTCTGCTGTGATCTGATAGATCGCACACTTCATCAAAAAGTTGTGTCATATAATCACAAACTGCTTGTTTTCTTAGTTGTTTTGGACCTCATAGTGACTTCACTGATTCCCAAGTTATTTTATAGAGATCTGTTTATGACAGCTGGAAACATTGTGTAACATATTGCATTGACAGACTGTTGGGGAGCTTTCAAAGCATCATGCAACAATGAACTTTGACTTCTCCACATCTTTCCTAATCTTACAAATTTAGGATTCACTTCAAAAAAAATTTTTTTTCCAATTATTTTAAACTCCTCAGTGGTTAGCTCAAATGAAGATTTCTTCATGGAATTAAACCCTGAAATGTCACCCTGTACAAGCTCAGAATATATATATATTTTTTATTATTTTGCATAAAGGATGTTGCTCATTTTCAGATGTTTTTTTTAACAGGACAAATTAGTAATCATATAAGCAATGATGACATAATGTGTCAATAATTAACAGTGAATAAAGTACTAAATACCTTTATCTGAGCTTCATATCTGAAGTCAAAAGGCAGCAGAGCTTGAAGCAATAAGTAGGTTAAAAGGGATTCAACCACAAAGACGTGTAACTTTGTCTGAAACAAATATTGGCTTATTAGGTTTCAAGCAAAGGGACTTTTTAACAAGTCAGCACATCTTATAAGGAATGTAAAACTAAATATAAATGATATAGATTAAACAACAGGCTGTTTCTGACAGGTCATATTTTTCCCTCCATAATAAAACCCATCCAATCAGAAAAAAATCTGATAAATTATTTTTCTCACTTTCCAGGGTTTCATGTTTCAATCAGCTTCAGCTGTAATAACCAGGACATTTAACTTTTTAAATTCTGACACATACATCTTCCATACTGTTTTTGTCATAGCATCTCTATCTTAGAGTGTTTTTTTTTTTTTTTGTAGTTTCTCAAGATTATTTGTCTTGTGTTAATAAAAGTAAATACAACAGATACCTTAGAGCTCATTCTGATTTCTGGTTAAACATGCAATTTCAAAAAAGTTGAAATAATAATAACAGTTCCATTTTGACCAGAGGATGGGGTTCAGAAGGTATCAACAGACTGTGTTGCTCCAGCATAGAAAGTGAAACCAGGAGGAAGTGTGTTTTTTAAGCAAGACAAACATGGCTGGTTACATCATTTGGCAACAGTGGAGAGGGAAACATCCCCTTTACAGGAAGAAACATCCAGCAGAACCAGAAACAAAACCAAAACCAGAACCAGAACCAGAACCTGGCTCAGTTTGGGTGACAAGACAAACAGATGAACTGATGACTTTCTCTGGCTATGAAAAGTTAATAACAGAAGAGGGAGACGTCCAAAAGATTGCATTCTTTATGTACATGACATACCTAAAAAAGAACAATAAATCATCAAAACACACAAAGTTCAGCCCGAAAGACAAATATTAATCGCAAAAGAAGGTTTGTTTATTTCATCAGTTTGTGTGTTTGTCAGAAAAAATAATGAGTATTTTCCTTTCCTGTTTTTTTCCTGTGTGGTCTGAAGGCACATCTCTACTCTGAAGAAGACCCACCCTGATCACCGGCCAGAAACTCATCATAGATCTTTCTCTTGTTAGACTGAAGCAGCACGGCACGTTAGCTATCTGCAGTAATCTTTGAAAACAATGAAGCCAAAATGTAATAAAACAGTTTAACATAAAATCCAAACTATAGTTACACACGTCCTCCCACAGAGAGCCATGTTATAGCAGTTTGTTCTGGACGGATCTTCCAGGAAGAGAAACAGCACAAACCAAAGGACCATGTTACACATAAAGGAATACTTCACAGAGGGGCTGATTCAGATAGCCATCCTGTTGAGTCTCTGTGGAGTCTGGGTGGATGTGGAACTGGAGGCGTTCATGCCTCCAGCCTGGTGTGAGCTGATTCTGGGTCCGACTTCAGCGCTGACACACTCACAGATCCTGAACCTCTGCAACCGGCACAGCCTGCACCCCAAGACAGTGGATGTGGATCAGTTCTTCACAGCGCGCAGGCTGTTAGGCTGGGTCCGCTCTCTGGACCGGATACAGGTAAGGAAACACACCCTCATAAGGACCAACTTTTAGCCACACACACCATGAGTCTGTATATACAGAAATTGACCAAAAATGTAAAAGTGTGGATCCAAATGTGTTTGTTGTATCATCACAACAAACACATTTCTTGTGTGCTTGTTGTGATGAATATTTAATCATCTCTTTTAGAATAAAAACATTTAAAATTTAATTTAAAGAATTGAACTGAATGAATCATCTATAAGGCATTTATGTTGCAAAGATTTCATAAAATATGAATAATGAAGAAGTGAAGGAGTTAAATAACAAGAACACGTTCCCTTTGAACTAGAGAAAAAAGCCTAAATGAGATTGAAAATTAAAAAGAGGATCACCTTAAAAGAAGAAAGCATCATCTGCTTCTTTAGTCCAACAATCTGTTTCTAATTAAAAGTTCAGATTGCCTGTGTTTGTAAAAGTCTTTACCTGAAGCTTTTCTTCACAGGTCCCTCAGGCAGAGCTGGAGACATGGCTCGTCCAGCAGGAAGCCGGTCCTCTCTCTGGACGATTTTCTGACCAGAACTCTCTGATGGACAGAACACTGAGTCAGGTAGAGAGAGTCCAAAGTGAGCCAACTACTGAACAAGGAGAAGCTTTGGATAGTCTGGAGGACGAAGAGCAGGTATGACAGATGATCACACATCATGATGTGTCTCAGTTATATTATTACTCCCAGGAAAAAAGCTGACTGAACAACTCTGCTCTAGTCTCCTCTAACCTTCCAGTGAATGTTGGACTAACATTCAGTTAAAACTATCCAACTTTGATCTCAACAGAAATCCAACCTGTTTGGCTAAAGAAATAACCCAGCAGTATTTTGTGTGTGGGTCTCTCACTGCATTGCTTGAGAGCCAGAGTCCTGTAATGTCTCTGGTCCTACACACTAGCATGCATCCCAGCTGTACAGAGAGACTTCTAGAAGCTGCTGGAGACCAGCATACGAGTTACAGACACCTAGTTTATATACTGGGTCCTTCTAAGTATTTTTCTAATAACTTGATGTAATCATATTGCTTTCACTCAATGAGAGTTGAGATTGAATGTAGAACCAACCGACTGTAGAGCTACTGTTCTATAGAGGCTCTACACACTATTGGCTGCAACAGGAGATACAAGGATCCCTCAAACATGCATGAAAGAATCAAAGCAATGCCTCATGTATGTTTTCCATGAAGTAACAACTTTATGACATAATATTACAATAACATCAAAAATGTACATTTACCTTCATTTTAAGAAAACAAGATATCTGTATAAGCTCAAATATATTTTGCTGTGTAAAATGAAATAATGTAGGTTACTGTGACTTCTTTTGAAAATATGAAACCATTTATCTGTAATAAGTAATAATAATAGATAATATTCATAGTGTTATTATTTTAAAAAAAGACCCTTCTGGGACCAAAATGATTTAGTTCTTAACATTTTTATTTCAAGATCAACTTTTGCAGTCACCCTCTGAAAACAACACTGCTGTTGCCGGGTTACCAATAACTCTCCATCACTCAGGCTGTAAACTCATGCAGTGGCTTTGTTTTGGGTACAGATAAAAGCTGAGCTTGGTGACTT